CCTCCATTGATGAGCTCCCATATGTCCTAGAGTCCCTCCATTGATGAGCTCTCATATGTCATAGAGTCCCTCCATTGATGAGCTCTCATATGTCCTAGAGTCCCTCCATTGATTCTTGGCTGAGGGACAGCATGGCTCATTTGCCTTCATCAGCAAACAAGATTGGGCTGTAGGAAAATTCTCTTTTTCGTGTCTAACTACAGCATTGATGTAATCTAATGCCTCTTGTATATATCTGACATTCCAATGAATTATAATGGCCTTATAATTATGGAGAATGCCCATTAAAAGGAACTCCTTAGATTCTGGCTCCAAGGGCACCTACTCTGAGTTAAAAAGGTCAGGGGGTCTGTGAGAGCATGATGCTCAACAAAAATATATAGCCACTGAACCATCTCTTTTTAATATAAGAGTAGATATGCTTCATCTAGGATTTTGAACTCACCGTGAGCCTTAGCTCTAATCACCATAATGGATGGATGGGTTTGGTGGCAAGCCATAAAAGCCCAGGTCAGGGGCGCCTGGATGGCTCAGTCAGTTAAACGGCTGACTTCAGCTCAGGTCATGATTCTATGGTTCGTGGGTTCAAGCCCCTCATCAGGCTCTGTGCTGGCACCTCGGAGCCTGGAGCCTGCTTCAGATTCTGTGTTTCCTTCTTTCTCTGCCCCTCTCCTGCTTGTGTTCTGTCTCTCTCTCTCTCTCTCTCTCTCTCTCAAAAACAAATAAACATTAAAAATTAAAAAAAAAAAAAAAAAGCTCAGGTCAGGAAAGCCAGACCTTCTTCCTCCTTATTCCTGTTGGCTTTGGAGGTTTGTAGAGATCTCTTTCTCAGAGTCCATTTCCTTTTTTATTTTGTCTGTATCTCCTGTTCTGGTGGCTCCATGCATTCAGGAGCACCCTCACTGTAGCAATAAGTTCAGGGGCTCCTCTCAGGAACCTAATAAAATGGGCCATCAGTATCTTGGAGTTTTTAACAAACTATAAATTTTGAGTCTTAGGCCAAATTGGTCAACTGGCATATCTCAGCCACTGTGGGCAACATTAGAGCCAGCTCCAAAGACCCATAAAAGCCAATCCAGGAAAGTCATACCATCATCTTTGTTCTTTGGGGTCCTTTGTGGTTCCATATAAGTTTGGAGATTATTTGTTCTAGTTCTATGAAAATGTCTTTGCAATTTTAATAGAGATTGCGCCGAATATGTAGATCACTTTGACACTTTAACAATATTGATTTTTCTAATCCATGAGCACAGATTATCTTTCCATTTATTTGAGTCATCTTCAGTTTCTCTCATCAATGTCTTACAGCTTTCAGTATATAGGACTTGTACCTCCTTAGTTAAATTGATTCCCATGTATTTTATTCTTTTTGATGCAATTGTAACTGGGATTTTTTTTTTAATATTTCTTTCTGATAGTTCATTATTAGTGTATGGAAGCACAGAAGGTTCTGTGTATTGATTTTGTGTTCTGCAACTTTACTGAATGTTTTAGTTCTATCAGTTTTTGATGGAGTCTTTAGGGTTTTCTATATATAATATCATATTGTCTGAAAACAGTGGCAGTTTTATTACTTTTTTCTGGTTTGAATGTCTTATATGTTTTTCTTGCCTAATTTTTTTGGCTAGAACTTCTAGAACTATGTTGAATAAAAGTGGTGAGAGTGAGCATCTTTGTCTACTTCCTGCTTTTTAGGAAAAAAGCTTTCAGCTTTTCACCATTAAATGTGATATTAGATATGGGCTTATAATATATGGCCTTTATTGTGTTGAAATATGTTCCTTCTTTGCCCACTTTGTTGGGAGTCTTTATCACAAATGAGTGTTGAATTTTGTCATCTGCTTTTTCTGAATCTATTGAGGTGATCATAAGATTTTTTATCCATGATTTTGTTATGGTGGTATATCAAATGATTGATTAGCAGATGTTGACCATCCTTCCATCCCTGGAATAAATCCCTTGATCATCATGCATGATTCTTTTAATATAATGTTGAATTCGGTTTGCTAATCTTTTCTTGAGGATTTTTGCATCTATGTTCATCATAGATATTGGCCTATAATTTTCTTTTCTTGTGGCATCCTTGTCTGGCTTGGTATCAGGGTAATGCTCACTTTATAAAATGAGTTTGGAAGTGTTCTGTCTTATTTTTAGAATATTTGAAAAAAATGGTAGTAATTCATCTTTAAATATTTGGTGAAATTCCCAGTGAAGCCATCTGATGCTGGACTTCTGTTCATTGGGAGGTTTTGGTTACTGATTCGATGTCCTTACTATTAATTGCTCTGTTCAGATTTTCTATTTCTTCCTGATCCAGTCTAGATAGGTTGTAAATTTCAATGGATTTATCTATTTCTTTTAAGTTGTTCAACTTTTTGGTGAATAACTGTTCACAGTAGTCTCTTATGATCCTTGTTATTTCTCTGATACCATTTGTAACATCTCCCTTTTTTCTGATTTTATTTATTTGAGACTTCTCTTGTTTTTTTTTTTTTGTAAGTCTACTTTAAGGTTTGTCAATTTTGTTTTGTTTTTTTCAGAAGCTAACTCTTAGTTTATTACATCATTTATATTGCCATTTTAGTCTCTATTTCATTTATTTTTGCTCTGATATTTGTTATTTCCTTCCTTCTACTTTGGTTTCTTCTAGATCATTGAGGTATAAATGTAGGTTTTTTTTTTTAGTTTTTCCTGTTTCTTAGTGTGGCATGTATCTCTGTGATCTTCCCTCTTAGAACTGCTTTCATTACATCTCATAAGTGTTGGTATGTTGTATTTCTGTTCCATTAGTCTCAAGATTTTTTTAAATTTCTCTCATGATTTCTTCTTTGACTCACTGGTTGTTCAATAACACATTTAATCTCCATATATTTGTGAATTTTCCAGTTAACGTCTTGTAATTGATCTCTAGTTCCATGCCATTGTGATCAGAAAAGATGGCTAATATGATTTGAGTTTTCTAAATGTATTTAGACTTGTTTTGTGGCCTAACATATGATCTATCCTGGAAAATGTTTCATGCGTGCTTGATAAGAACTGTATTCTGTTGTTTACAATAGAATGTTCTATAAATATCTGTTAAGTCCATCTGCTCTAATATCATGTAAGGCCAATGTTTTCTTATTTATTTTCTATCTAGACTATCCATTGATGAAAGTGGGTATTAAAGTCATCTATTGTTATTGTGTTGCTCTCTATTGCTCCTTTTAGGTCTGTTAATATTTGCTTTATACATTTAGATTCTATTTTGGCTGCAAAAATGTTTAAAACTGTGAAACTCTTTTTGGATTGACCCCTTCATATATTTATTTTCTTTGTCTCTTTCTACAGTCTTTGTTTACATTTGCATTTACATTTACAGAAATTTTTGACAGGAGAGCCTGGGTTACTCTGTTTGTGAAGCGCCAGAATTCAGCTCAGGTCATGATCTCCTGGTTCGTGAGTTCAAGCCCCACATTGGGCTCTCTGCTGTCAGTGTGGAGCCTGCTTCAGATCCTGTGTCTCCCTCTCTCTACCCCTCCCCTATTCATGCACTTGCTCTCTCTCAAAAATAAATAAACATTTAAAAAAATTTTTAAGACACTATTGAGAAATATGGAATTATCACCATTTTGTTAATTTTTTTCTGGCTGTTTTGTAGTTCTTCTGTTCCTTTATTCTCTTGATTTCTTCCTTTGTGATTTGATGATTTTCTATAGTGGTATGCCTAGATCCTTTCTTTTACCTTTTGTGTATCTTTTTTATTTTTATTTTTTTGTATATAATTTATTGTCAAGTTACATAACATACAGTGTATATAGTGTGCTCTTGGTTTGGGAGGTTGATTCCCATGATTCATCACTTACATACAACACCCAATGCTCATCCCAACAAGTGCCCTTCTCAGTGTCCATCACCCATTTCTCCCCTTGCCGACCCCCACCCCCATCAACCCTCGGTTTGTTCTCTGTATTTAAGAGTCTCTTATGGTTTACCTCCCCCTCTATTTGAAACTATTTTTTCCCCTTCCCTTTCCCCCATGGTCTTCTGTTAAGTTTCTCAAGTTCCACATATGAGTGAAAACATATATCTGTCTTTCTCTGACTGACTTATTTCACTTAGCATAATACTTTCCAGTTCTATCCACGTTGCTACAAATGGCCAGATTTCATTCTTTCTCATCGCCAAGTAGTATTCCATTGTAGATATGAACCACATCTTCTTTATCCATTCATCAGTTGATGGACATTTGGGCTCTTTCCATAATTTGGCTATTGTTGAAAGCATGGCTATAAACATTGGGGTACATGTGCCCCTATGAATCAGCACTTCTGTATCCTTTGGGTAAATTCCTAGTAGTGCTATTGCTGGGTTGTAGGTTAGTTCTATTTTTAATTTTTTGAGGAACCTCCACACTGTTTTCCAGAGCAGCTGCACGAGTTTGCATTCCCACTAACAGTGCAGGAGGGTTCCTGTTTTTCCACATCCTTGCCAACATCTGTTGTTCCTGAATTGTTAATTTTAGCAACTCTGACTGGTGTGAGGTGGTATCTCATTGTGATTTTGATTTGTATTTCCCTGATGATGAGTGATGTTGAGCATCTTTTCATGTGCCTGTTGGCCATCTGGATGTCTTCTTTGGAAAAGTATCTATTCGTGTCTTCTACCCATTTCTTCACTGGATTATTTGTTTTTTTGGGTGTTGAGTTTGGTAAGTTCTTTATAGATTTTGGATACCTTTCGTGTATCTTGATAGGGTTTCATTTTGAGCCTTCATGAGCCTTCAATCAAGCAATTTATATTTATCCCAGTCTGTTTTAAGTTGATAACAACTTAAGTTTGAATGTATTCTAAAGCTTTACATCTTACTCCTCCCCTAAGTTTTGTTTCTCGTGTCACAAACTTCTTATGTGGGGAATAAAAATGGTGAAAGTCAGCATCCTTGTCTTGTCCCTGATCCTAGAGGAAAAGCTTTTAACTTTTCACCATTGAGTATGATGGTAACTATAGGCCTGCCATCACAGCCTTTATTATATTGAAGTATGTTCCCTCTAGATCCACATCTTTTTGTATTGTATATTCCTTGACAAATTTTCATTTGCTTCCATATATTTTGCTAAAGGCAAAAGGCAATATTAGCTTGACATTAGTCCAACCTCCAGAATCCTGTAAGTCTCCCTTGAACGTATGAAAATCCCTTTGGAAACTTCCTTGATCTCTAATCAGCCACTCCTCACAATCCCCATGCAGCTCTTTCTGCCCATGGATCCTGTCCCCGTGTTTAAATAAAATCACCCTTTTTGCACCTAAGACATCTCAAGAATTCTTTCTTGACTGTTTGCTTCTGAACCCCAACATTTCACATCATTTTGATGCCCAATGTGGGACTTGAGTCTTTTCATCTGGACACTGAGACTCATTCAAACTTGGTGAGTACTTTGTCTTCTCTACTATTATTTCAGGGGCTTTTTAAGGACTATGGTCTTATTGGAACACTTTCATGTCAATTGTTCAGGCCACACTCTGTCCATGGCTACTCTACAGGACGGAAAATGCCTGCTTTTTGGCTGAAAGTTAGTACCATGGCTGGAATGGTAGTAAGATCTAGAAACGTGATGTCTTCTCTTTATTCCTGTCCTTATACAAAGATGTTTGTCTTGAGCATGGGACAGTCACCTAAGTCACTAGGATGGCTACTAATCTTTTTTTTTTTTCATTTTTTTAATGTCTATTTATTTTTGAGAGAGACAGAGACAGAATTCGAGTGGATCAGGAGCAGAGAGAGAGGGAGACACAGAATCCAAAGCAGGCTCCAGGCTCTGAGCTGTCAGCACAGAGCCTGACACAGGGCTCAGACTCACAAGCTGTGAGATCATGACCTGAGCTGAAGTCAGACGCTCAACCGACTGAGCCACCCAGGCACCCCGGGATGGCTATCAATCTTAAGACTCTCTTGTGAGGTTTCCTCCTCATTGGTCTAATGTGACCCCCTCCACATCTCTGGTCCAGCCATTTCTGCTCATGAGATCTCCACTCAGAGTCAGCCAAAACCAGCACCTGATTGAATTAAAACCCAACCAGGCACCATTTCCTAGGGAAGTTTGCTTTAAAGACTACATGTCTTGGAATGTTACTTAGATTGTGATGGATTTTTATCTTTACTGTTTTCCATCAATTTCCCCTGCTAACTACTTAAATTACAAAATCAGGTAATTTTCCCTTGTAAAACTTTTCTAGTATTTTCTATGGATTAAAAATGGCAGATTCTTCATGGTACAGGATAGTATTTTGGTCCATTCACTGACACCCATTTGTAGCCTAGGATGCATTGCAGAAGTTGGGGGATGCTGGCACTCCCTCCTACAGGACCTTGACAGCAAGCAGAGTGATGATCAATAGCGATTTCTTTGAAGGGACACCTTGGGTCACTTTGACACCAGGAACCTCTGATATATCCTGAATGTGGGAAGCCACCCAGAGGTGGGGAGGGTGGATTTTCTTGGTAAAGGACCTTCTCTAGCCATCTTCTTCAGTTTCCAAGGACTCTCCCTTGGGATTCCTTTCAACCCACTGGAAACAATATGGATTACAACGTTTAAGAAAAGACTGATCTCTTCTGTAACAGTGCATGACCTCAATTTGATCTATCAGTTTGATCTCTTTTGTAGGAAACATGGCAAATTG